TGGTTTTTATTCCTTATTCTGTGAAATCTCTTGCTCTTAAACTCTCACTTCTTCACGAGCGTTGTGCTTCCTCTCCGTCGCTCTGAAGGTTTCCCCCTCCCCTCCTCTCGTCTCTAATCCCACCTGCTACTCACTTTTTGAAACAAGCACGTGTGGAAAATAAAAGTGCATTTAATCCAGTTTATTTCTGACACACTTGTCTTGAGTTTTCCTCTCTTTATTTAATGGATGCATTGAAAGCTTTTACATAAAATCCTACTTTATTGCAAAGTAGGTTACGCATAAAATGAGGTCGCTTTCGTGTATAACGGTGCATACATACACACAGAAATATATCATATAAAAACTATTTTTTTACTTAAAGATTAATAACAGTATTTATAGTTTGTATTCTGAGTACATTTTCTCTGCACAATCAATATGTATACTTTTAAACTACGTACAATTTAGTACAAAATCACTACTTTACTCCACTTAAATTACTTAATGTATTCCCGTGTAAAGGAAGAATTAAATAAACAAAAATAATTAAATTAGAATAAATTAAATACAATCAAATAAAAATAATAATAAATACAATTAAATACAAATATTTAAATTAAATACAAATATTTAATAAATGAAAATAGAACATTTAAAGTAAAACTGTGCTACAATATATACCACATAAATATGTTAAAAATGTATACAAATATAAGAATTAATATGATGCTGAAGATAAAAGAAAGAATAAAATCCTGACGTTTTTGTAGATTTTATTATTTAAATATGAAATGAAAACAGATTATTGTTTGAAATGTACACTTAAAACAATAACTATCCTTAATATAGTGAAGTATATGAGTACTTCTTCCAACAGTACACTACTTATTGTTGTTATATGTAGGTGCACACGTATTTGTGGCCTTGTAGTAAAATCTTATATATACTTTAATCCTTCTTCTGTACTCTTAATTGATCTTTTTGGTGCTTTACGCCCACTTCATGTCTCCGTCTCTCTACCTTCTGAATGTCACTTGGTTTCAGTCCGTTTTCAGGAACTGAGTCACAGACCACACGGCGAACACACAGGATGTCGCTCTGTTTCTGTTTGTCACCTCAAACATCTCACTTTGTCATGTTTGAATCCACTGCAAGCAAAACAGACACTCTTCAAATGCACCGTGACGCCCTTGCATGATGCAAGAAGCTGTAGAAAAATGACTTTTGGTGCTTTTTTTGTTAAGATTTGACTGATTTCAGATGAGCTCAAGAGGGTTTTGCTTCTCTAGAAATTGATAAAATGATCTCAAACTTCTTGTATTTCTCCTTTTCCTTGCAAAACATTTAAATATTATGTCCACAGCAGCCCTAGTGAATTTGAATTGTTAAAAAAAGGGAGGTTTTACAGTCGGCAGTTGTGGAAAAAGTGCTGGGATTATTCACTTTAATGAAATAAAACAACAAGAAACATATTCACTGAAAAGAAGGATAAACACAAAAATAAACACAATTTTCTAAAAGTGAAATAACCCATTTAAGAGTACTGTCTAGTGGCATCTATAATCACAATTAAAGAACGAATATTTATACTTTCAAACCTAAAAGTTAATACTGTATTTCTGGTGAAATCCTTAAATCCGTATTCATCTGTTAAATGACTTCAGAAAACTCAGAATTTAGTCTCAAAAGGCCTCGAGGGGCCTTATTGAAACCCACAACAAAATGTACGTTTAAGAAGCTAATCAGATTATAACTCATTTTATTGGTCAAACATTGTTGATCATAAACTCCTAGAACATTTTAAATTGTAGTCACTTTATTAACAGTGTTATCAGAGGCTTATTGGAGATAAAAGGAGGCATGCACGAAAAAACTTGTCGTGGATAATTTAACATGACGACTTAGCAAATTCTAGTTTATCGTGAAACAAAAAGCTTTATGAACATGCGAAGATGAAGGAAACCAAGAGAACGAAGACCAGACAGAGTGGATTGGCCGTAAAGGAGGAAGAGGGGGCGTTGTCACCTGCGTTGTCACCTGCGTTGTCACCTGCGTTGTCACCTGCGTTGTCACCTGCGTTGTCACCTGCGTTGTCACCTGTAGGAGAAAACAAGGAGGACGTTAAAATGCAACGATATGAGAATAAAATATAATTTACAGAACATTTGTTGGTAAATAAAAGTGGCACAAGGTTGCACATTTTAGTACAAGTAAACACAGTAATGTATAATATAAAAACTATTGTCAAATAAAAAACGACTTAATGTTTGTTAATTAAATAAATAAAATAATTAAAATACAATTAAATACAATTATTTAATAAATTAACATAGAACATTTAAAGTAAAAATGTGCTACAATATATATATATATAACATAAATATTAACATCCTGAAAGTGGCACAAGGTTTACTCGTGCATTTTAGTAAAATATTTGGTTCTACGGGTTAGTTAAAATTGTTGCTAACAGCCTACTGAACCATTGGATCCAATATGAAGTTCATTTTCTGTAAGAATGTGTTGCTCTGCTCTTGTAAGGATGTTAGCACGTGTGTTATGGTTTTACGAGCTAGTTGGTTAACATGTGTAGCTAACTAGCTAACAAACTACTATACGTTAGCATTGCACATACAGTAGATATTCCAATTTGAAGCTAATGTCTATAATACTGTGTTGCTCTTGTAAGGATGTTAGCACGTGTGTTATGGTTTTACGAGCTAGTTCGTAAACATGTGTAGCTAACGAGCTAACGGCGTACTAAAATGTAGCATTAAACATACAGTAAATCGTCCAATTTGAAGCTAATTTCTATAATACTTTGTTTCTATACTCTTGTAAGGATGTTAGCACGTGTGTTATGGTTTTACGACCTAGCTGGTTAACATGTGTAGCTAACTAGCTAACAAACTACTATACGTTAGCATTGCACATACAGTAGATATTCCAATTTTGAATGTCTATAATACTGTGTTGCTCTTGTAAGGATGTTAGCACGTGTGTTATGGTTTTACGAGGTAGTTGGTAAACATTTCTAGCTAACTAGCTAACGGCCTACTAAAATGTAGCATTAAACATACAGTTAATCGTCCAATTTGAAGCTAATTTTGAGAAGACTGTTTTGCTCTGCTCTAGTTAGCTAGCTAGCCTTTGCGTTAGAGTTTAGGCTGGTACGGAAAAATATAAAATCAGGATCTAATTATAATTTGTATTTAGACTGTAAACATTATTTGATACGGAAAACAGAGGGGTTTCTGCACAGTTTAACTTCCCTTAAATCCATTAGAGTCAAATATTACAGCTAACATACATTTAAAAAAAAAAAAATGAAGAGATTAGATGAGAGTGAGGGTACCTGATGGTTCCTCGTCATCCTGCCATGGTGGATGCAACGTGATGTTTCCAGTCAGGTTTACAGTCATGTTATAGTGATTTTCCCCATTTTCAAGCAAAGAATATTCATCATCATCATCATCATCATCGTTTTGTCCCCTTGATAAAATGACTGCGGCACCTAAACAAAGAAAGGGAGAGTAATTCAAATTGAGGAAAAATCTAAATTAAATAAATACATATTGTGCTTATGAAACATAGACATGTGAAGACAAACAACATGTATATATGTTATTATTTCATTTCTTGATTGAATTGGTTTTTGTTATTCAGTATTAATTAATTGGGCGAAAAATTTAAATATTCTGAGATTTTTATACAGGCTGATATTATTATATTATATATAGGTTTAAAAGAAAAATGGACACACACACACACACACACACACACAGACACACAGACACACAGACAGACACACAGACACAGACACACACACACACACACACACACACACACACACACACACACACACACACACACACACACACACACACACAGACCCAGACAGACACACACACACACACACACACACACACACACACACACACACATACACAGACACAGACACAGACACAGACACACACACACACACAGACAGACAGACAGACAGACAGACAGACAGACAGACAGACACACAGACACACAGACAGACAGACAGACAGACAGACAGACAGACAGACAGACACACAGACACACAGACAGACAGACAGACAGACAGACACACACACAGACAGACAGACAGACAGACAGACAGACAGACAGACAGACAGACAGACAGACACACAGACACACAGACACACACACACACAGACAGACAGACAGACAGACAGACAGACAGACAGACAGACAGACTTCTTAAACTCAGGGGCTCTAAGTCAATGGTAAACAGAGAGGAAATCAAAATGAAAGCGATGTAAAAGTAGTTTGATGGCGTGTGAATAAAGATGGAGTCGGAGACGAAGTTCACTTATATATTTAATCATAGGGCACAAAACTGACTTTAATTATCCTTAAGTTGTATTTAATTATCTCTAGAACGCCCATCGTGAGGCCAAGAAAATAAATTGTAAGTAATGTACTTTAATTGTGACTACACTGATGTTAAAATCAAATTGTTGTTGTTGTTTCCGTACTCACCGATAACCCCTAACAGCAGGTAAATCTTCATCATCCCCTCCAGATGTCTGATATACAATCTCTCCAGCTGATTGAGTTTCTGTCTGTCAACTCGAATCTAAATGAGTTCATACTGGAGACAGGAAGTATAACCACAATCTGCTGAGACCGAGATAATCTGACATCTTTACATCACTTTATCTCCATACTTGGCTCCGTGAGAAACACCGTTTATAACCTCCAGACAGCAGGGAGGAAGGATACACTTATTTCATTCTTTATTCAACACATGGCAGTTATTTTAATACAAAACATGTTCGCTTATACTGGTTGTTTTTCAGTTTTTTATAGTGCATAAAAGCAATATTCTTTCAGTTGCTTACAAATACTGAAACATAAAACCAGAACACAAAAGTCAACTTCAAACTGTCTCATTATGCTTTCTTTATACATTTTCTTAAACATAAAACATTTTCTCACAGCCCTTTCGGCAAAAAATGAAACCACTTCTTTACGCCAAGAGACACACTTCTGCTTTAAAGTAGCGCGTGCAAACTGATGTTTAACATTTCATTTCCTCCTTTGATAAAGACTATTTTCTGCAGTAAAAGTACTTCATTCTGACAATACTCCACTTCACTACAAGTCCTGCAAAACTGTACGTAAGTAGAAGTTTGTAATCACTCTTTGAAGTATTGATTGTGCAGTTAAATGTTCCCTGTATGTGTTTTTTGGAAAAATAAATGATATTTGCACAAGAAATTAAAAACCCAAGTACTTAAGGTAAAAGTACTGTGTAGTGAAATGTAGTTAACATACTTAAAGTAAAAGTACTGTGGAGTGAAATGTACTTAAAGTACTTAAAGTAAAAGTACTGTGGAGTGAAATGTACTTAAAGTACTTAAAGTTAAAGTACTGTGTAGTGAAATGTACATTGATTGAAAAGTAAAAGTAGTGATTTTGTACTAAATTGTACGTAGTTTAAAAGTATACATATTGATTGCGCAGTGAAATGTACTCAGAATACATTCTATAAATACTGTTATTAATCTTAACTTAGGAGAAGTTTCTCAACAAATACAAACACCTCATCACTCAGTTTATCACAAACATATATTATATTAAATATTTTAAAAAGACATAAAGAAACAAATCGAGATATGTTTGGGCTTTCAGATTTTTTATTATTTTCACGTCATTTTGGCAATACCTGTTTTCACCAGCAGATGGCACTGTGTTTCACAACACGCAGCAGTCCATCCCATAGTCTTCATATTGAATGGGGAAAAAGCAGTCGCTGTAACTTTGACATCTTTTTAAATTAAGCTTAGTTTATAAAACTGTAGGAATAAAATATTATATAAAATATGTTCTTGTTGTTTTGGCCATCAGGTTCAACGCAGCGCAGGAAGGACACACACTTCAACTTAAAAACCATCAAATGCACATTTATACAAGACTGAAAAGTCACCTATTATGCAAAATCCACTTCTCCACGTCTCTTCTACATCAACATGTGTCCCCTCTTCTTCATGTCTCTTCTACATCAACATGTGTCCCCTCTTCTCCACGTCTCTTCTGCATCAACATGTGTCCCCTCTTCTTCATGTCTCTTCTACATCAACATGTGTCCCCTCTTCTTCATGTCTCTTCTACATCAACATGTGTCCCCTCTTCTCCACGTCTCTTCTGCATCAACATGTGTCCCCTCTTCTTCATGTCTCTTCTACATCAACATGTGTCCCCTCTTCTTCATGTCTCTTCTACATCAACATGTGTCCCCTCTTCTTCATGTCTCTTCTACATCAACATGTGTCCCCTCTTCTTCATGTCTCTTCTACATCAACATGTGTCCCCTCTTCTTCATGTCTCTTCTACATCAACATGTGTCCCCTCTTCTTCATGTCTCTTCTACATCAACATGTGTCCCCTCTTCTTCATGTCTCTTCTACATCAACATGTGTCCCCTCTTCTTCATGTCTCTTCTACATCAACATGTGTCCCCTCTTCTTCATGTCTCTTCTTCATCAACATGTGTCCCCTCTTCTTCATGTCTCTTCTACATCAACATGTGTCCCCTCTTCTTCATGTCTCTTCTACATCAACATGTGTCCCCTCTTCTTCATGTCTCTTCTTCATCAACATGTGTCCCCTCTTCTCCATGTCTCTTCTTCATCAACATGTGTCCCCTCTTCTTCATGTCTCTTCTTCATCAACATGTGTCCCCTCTTCTTCATGTCTCTTCTACATCAACATGTGTCCCCTCTTCTTCATGTCTCTTCTACATCAACATGTGTCCCCTCTTCTTCATGTCTCTTCTTCATCAACATGTGTCCCCTCTTCTTCATGTCTCTTCTACATCAACATGTGTCCCCTCTTCTTCATGTCTCTTCTACATCAACATGTGTCCCCTCTTCTTCATGTCTCTTCTACATCAACATGTGTCCCGTCTTCTTCATGTCTCTTCTTCATCAACATGTGTCCCCTCTTCTTCATGTCTCTTCTACATCAACATGTGTCCCGTCTTCTTCATGTCTCTTCTTCATCAACATGTGTCCCCTCTTCTCCATGTCTCTTCTACATCAACATGTGTCCCCTCTTCTTCATGTCTCTTCTACATCAACATGTGTCCCCTCTTCTTCATGTCTCTTCTACATCAACATGTGTCCCCTCTTCTTCATGTCTCTTCTTCATCAACATGTGTCCCCTCTTCTCCATGTCTCTTCTACATCAACATGTGTCCCCTCTTCTTCATGTCTCTTCTACATCAACATGTGTCCCCTCTTCTTCATGTCTCTTCTACATCAACATGTGTCCCCTCTTCTTCATGTCTCTTCTTCATCAACATGTGTCCCCTCTTCTCCATGTCTCTTCTACATCAACATGTGTCCCCTCTTCTTCATGTCTCTTCTACATCAACATGTGTCCCCTCTTCTTCATGTCTCTTCTTCATCAACATGTATCCCCTCTTCTTCATGTCTCTTCTACATCAACATGTGTCCCCTCTTCTCCATGTCTCTTCTACATCAACATGTGTCCCGTCTTCTTCATGTCTCTTCTTCATCAACATGTGTCCCCTCTTCTCCATGTCTCTTCTACATCAACATGTGTCCCCTCTTCTTCATGTCTCTTCTACATCAACATGTGTCCCCTCTTCTTCATGTCTCTTCTACATCAACATGTGTCCCCTCTTCTTCATGTCTCTTATACATCAACATGTGTCCCCTCTTCTTCATGTCTCTTATACATCAACATGTGTCCCCTCTTCTTCATGTCTCTTCTACATCAACATGTGTCCCGTCTTCTTCATGTCTCTTCTTCATCAACATGTGTCCCGTCTTCTTCATGTCTCTTCTTCATCAACATGTGTCCCCTCTTCTTCATGTCTCTTCTTCATCAACATGTGTCCCCTCTTCTTCATGTCTCTTCTACATCAACATGTGTCCCCTCTTCTTCATGTCTCTTCTTCATCAACATGTGTCCCCTCTTCTCCATGTCTCTTCTACATCAACATGTGTCCCCTCTTCTTCATGTCTCTTCTTCATCACCATGTGTCCCCTCTTCTTCATGTCTCTTCTTCATCAGCATGTGTCCCCTCTAAAGAGACTCTGAAAGTTTCAGGAACAAAGATTCTCTCTCTTTTTGATCCATTTTTATAAAAACCTGTCTGAAAATGAGCTGATCAGATTTTGGCCACTTTATGATGTCATAACGATGTTTTGTCTTGTGTAACCATTAGCCAATCAGCAACCAAGGTACCCCCCCCCCCCCCACCTTATCACCTGAATCTCCTCCTAGAGCACCATTGTGTTCTTTGTAACCAAATCTCTCTCAGAGGGGCGTGGGGAGGGGCTCCTTATTTTCATCTAAAGTAACAGACAGAGAATCAGCACTTTGGAAACAGGGCTGAAACAGAGGGGATTATGGGTAATGCTGCAATGATCTGTTTGGTGTTTCAGCCAATCAGAGACAGGCTCTGTATATATCTGAGACCTGTGATATATTGATGAAAAACAGTATGATAGGGGACCTTTAACATTTGATATTTGCACAAGAAATAAAAAACCCACACAAATATAGAAAATGATCTTCAAAAGTATCTGTTTACATAGTTTTATCCACGTATAAATACCGCTCAGAATATAAATAACAAATATTTAACAGTCCTCATATATCACTCTGACATGTTGTAATATTGTGTCACACTGTAGTTTTACATTTTTCAGTTAAATAATTGAATACAAATATTTATAAATACAAAAAAAGTTAGAGTAAGAATGTGCAATAAAATCAAATGTAATAAATAATTTGTATTTTAAACAAATATAAGAATTAAAGTAAGATTCCCCCCAAAACATTTTAAAATAACATTTTATTTTAATTATTCATATCTTTTATTGGAATCTGTATTTTAACGCCCTATGCTTATACAAATATTTAGTTTATTTTTACTTTGAATTCTTGCTTTAAGTCTCTTTATAAATACAAAACACAATTTCCCCCGGGATAAATTAAGTGTTCTGGTTCTGATTAATATAAAATGGTGCAAATGCAGAAAAATACACATAAGTTCTGTAACATCCACATATATTACTCACATTTAATCATTTTTGTTGCATGTTTTGTGCTTTTTGTCAGGCCTTTAACAAGCCTTGTGTCCTTTTTCTTCAGCAGTACCTTCACACAGTACAATGCACTTTATTGTCCTCACTCCTCTCCTCCTCAGCAGACGGAGCGATGCTTTGCTCCTGGGCGATGGCGGACATTTCTTTGAGGAATTCGGCGAACATCACGATGGCGAAGACTCTGTTTTTGGCCTGCGTTGGGATGGGGGGGCATGGCGGCAGAATGACATCCCCCTCCTGAGACTGGAAACTCTCTGACACACGGAGGGGACAGTGAACGCACCAGTAAGCTTCAGGTAAACTGTATTTGGACAGTCTTGCACTAATGTACATTTCTCTGACTGTTATTTTTGTATGTATTGATTGTTGTGCTTTTATTCATGTCTTAATGTGTGCATATGTATAAATGTGTCTGTTGATTGTGTATATATTCATCTTTTTATATATATTTTTACACACAAACTGAAAGATTGACAATAAAGTTGACTTGACTGTTCTGAGTTTTATGAAACTACAAACATTTAATTTTCCTCAATTTTTACTTATTTTTCCGGTATTTGTCAGCGTGTCACAAGAAATTGAAATCAATACGTTTCTGGGCATAGCGACAGAGTTATTGTATTAAAGCCACTTTAAAAATGTGTTTATGGGAATATTTGTTGGTTTTCCAAGAGGCATAGCTATAATGCTGTCCTGCCACTACTACTGGTACTCATGTAACTTTGTATTACTACCATTACAGCAGCTACTCTGCTAAATGCAAACCGCTCTTGTGTTGTTGTCCGGCTGGTGGGGGTTTAAGATGTGTCTCTGTGTGTGTGTGTGTGTGTGTGTGTGTGTGTGTGTGTGTTAGTGTGTGTTACTGACCTCTGAACTTGCTGTCCTGGTCTTTAGCCAGCAGGAACCTCCAGGCCTGAGTGAGCAGAGCGGGGAAATCAGGTCTGTCCGCCACGTAGAGCTCGATCTGAGCGTGAACTGACACCAACACCTGGGAACACACACACACACACACACACACACACACACACACACACACACACACACACACACACACACACACACACACACACACACACACACACACACAGGAGTAAATGCATACAGTATTATTATCATCATCGTTGTGTGTGTGTGTGTGTGTGTGTGTGTGTGTGTGTGTGTGTGTGTGTGTGTGTGTGTGTGTGTGTGTGTGTGTGTGTGTGTGTGTGTGTGTGTGTGTGTGTGTGTGTGTGTGTGTGTGTGTGTGTGTGTGTGTGTTACCTGGTAGAGTGTGCGCACGTTGTGTGTGTGTGTGTGTGTGTTGAGCAGGAAGTCTCTCAGCAGAGGTTGAGGGTACGACGCCAGCTGAGACAGGATTCCCGTCACCAGCAGATTCACAGAGATTGAATTTTCCAGAAGATTCTCCAGCCGGGACAACAAGACGCTGATGAACGGGCCTGTTGCATCATGGGAAAACTGCAGGTTAGTGTGTGTGTGTGTGTGTGTGTGTGTGTGTGTGTGTGTGTGTGTGTGTGTGTGTGTGTGTGTGTGTGTGTGTGTGTGTGTGTGTGTGTGTGTGTGTGTGTGTGTGTGTGTGTGTGTGTGTGTGTGTGTGTGACGCTAACACTTTACTCCATTTTGAAACTAGCTAATTCCAAAAGTATAATGAAATCTGGTCCACAAAATGAAACTTAAATATAAATGTTCAAATATATTACACAGTAGTATTCATGTGCCCACTTTTCAAATACATTCAGTCAATTCAAGTTGGAAACATTGTCAAACAAATCTTAGTTGATAAAAAAAAGGCCACATTTGATTGATTTTGCTAACTTATAACTGCTCTAAACAACACACACCTGTAAAGGGAACTCCATGCCTCCTGCTTCCTTCCTTCCTGTCTCCTTCCTCTCCTTCCTCCATCACTTCCTCCTCTTCCTCCTCTCCTTCATCCCACGACGAGTCAAAAACAATCTCCTCTTCTTCCTCTTCCATTCTCTGTCTCAGCACTCGAACCCTCTTCCTAAACGAGCTAATGTCGTTAGCCACGTCGTCACAATCCGGCTCCACGCCTAAAGACAGCATTAACTCGTGGTATCGGGACAGGAAGTCGTCTTTTTTAGCGACTTCATCACTTTGTGGATTTATTAAGTGATTAATCCCAGAGTGGCCATTTTGTAACGTCCCTAAACATGTCGTTGGATGTTTGTCTTCTTCACGACCATCCTTTTCGCTGATGATGAGTCGCTTATCGTTGAATCCATTCGTGAGTCTTCCTCCCCCTCCTTCCCTTTTATTCGCCTCCTCTTCTGCTTCCTGCTTCCTCTCCTCACTCCTTCTTCTCTCCTCCTTCTCTGCCTCCTCGCTCCTTCTTCTCTCCTCCTTCTCTGCCTCCTCGCTCCTCCTCCGTGTCGACATTATACTGTTCACCGTTTCCATCACAGTCTTTCCAAATGTCGTCGTTTTGTTTCCTCGCACTCGCCGATTTGTCGCCATGATTCGCTCCAAAATGGCCGCCTTCGTTTCCCTCTGAGCGACCAGATTATAGACCAGAAAATCGTCTTGGAAGTCCGATTCCTCCACGTAGGACCCGTGCACCGACTTGGTTGCCGCACGCCTCATTTCCTGGATGTGTCTCGGAGGTAAAGGCGTCGAAATGCATCCGGAGACTTCCATCGTTACGCCGCCATTTGCTAATGAAGAAAGATCGTCGTCCGCAAAAATGTCGTCCCACTCCAGCTCTAACGAACAACCAGGTTTTAAGGTTTGGTTTCCCGTAGAAAGAGGATCTGAGCAAGGAGGCGAGGGGGAAAAGGCGGATGTCGGGGAGTCGTTTTCGATCTGAGATACGATTTGTTCATCGTCTTCTTCAACGGTAGATCGGTATTCGAGAGGCGGAGGATCGATGCCGTCGTACGGAGACGACCATCGCTCACACGCCCTGGAGAGGAAAGAAATAATCATCAGGACTGAAGATAAGAAAAGATAATAGAGAATAACACAATAGGAGTAAATAATAAAACAAGTGTGTGAGGGTGTGTTTGTGAGTGTGTGCAATTTAATATAATATATCTTTTAATTTCCTGCTGTGTTCCTCGAAGAGAACATTTTTCATTCTCCTCCTCTGCACACTTATGTATATATTTAACATGTTCATACAAATGCTTGATTTGATTTGATTTGATTTGATTTGAACGTGTAGCAATAATAAAAATGAAAGATGAGAATTATGATACTGTACAAACTTAAGCAGTGTCAAATTGATAAATAAATATTATTGACTTACAAATGATATATAAACAACTTATCTACTTAATTACACATCCGAAAATGCTCAACTTTTTACTGTGATACCCTGTTTCAATAGTCACTTTATCACTTTATCTTTGCTGTATTATTATTTTAATT